TATTACTCATTACTTTCAGTGTATTATTTCAGATACTGCATTTTTTATTTCTGACTTGTCCATTTTTATGGTTTCTGTATCTTTTTTCATGCTGTTGAGTATCCTTAGAATCATTACTCTAAACTTGATGCCTCTAAGAGACCCATCTCAGGTGGAGATACACACAGACTAAAAATAAAAGGATGGAAAAAGATATTTCATGCAAATGGAAAAGAAAAAGAGGTGGGGTAACAGCCCCTATATCCAAAAAACCAGACTTTAAACAAAGGCTATGGTAAGAGACAAAGAAGGACACTGTATAAAGATAATGGGAACAATCTAACAAGAGGATATAACCCCAGTAAACATTTCTGCACAAATATAGGAGCACATAAATACATAAAGCAGATCTTGATGGACATAAAGGGAGAGCTTGACAGAAGTACAGTCATAGTTGGGGATTTTAACACCTCATTGATTTCAATTGCTAGATCGTCCATGCAGAAAACCAACAAGGAGACAGTGGCCTTGAATGACACATTAGATCAAATGGATTTAACTGATATCCCCAGAGCATTTCACCCCAAAGCAGCAGAATATACACACTTTTCAAGTACACATGGAATGTTTTCTAAGGCCACATATAGGATACAAAACAAGTCTCAATGAATTTAAGAAGATTGAAATTACATCAAGTATCTTGTCTTATTGTAATGCTATGAAACTAGAAATCAATCACAAGAAGAACATTGAAAAACAAGGAAAAACATGGTAGCTCAATAACATATTATTAAACAATGAATGGGTCAGCAAGAGCAGGGAAAAAAATAAAAGATACCTCCAAACAAATGAAAATGAGGACACAACAATCCAAAATCTGTGGGATACTGGGAAATCAATCCTAAGAGGGAAATTCCTAACATTACAGGTCTAGCTCAAGAAACAAGAAAAAGCTCAAATAAACAATCTAACTTTACACTTAAAGGAACTTGAAAAAGAACAACAAACAAAGCCCAAAGTAGGTAGAAGGAAGGAAAGTATTCAAGCTAAAATGTTTTTGCACAGCAAAGGAAATCATCAACAAAATAAAAAGACAGCCCACAGAATGGGAGAATATATTTGCCAATACATCTGATAAGGAGTTAATATCCAAAATTTATAAAGTACTGACAAAACTCAACACTCAAAAAACAAGCAACCAATTAAAATATGGACAAAGGACCTGAATAAAGACTTCTCTAAAGAGGACATATGGAAGGCCAACAGACATATGAAAAAGATGCTCGACATCACTAATCATCACAGAAATGCAAATCAAAACCACAATGAGATACTATCTCACATCTGTCAGAGTGGATTTCATCAATAAATTAACAAACAACAAGTGCTGGTGAGGATGTGGAGAAAAGTGAGCCCTTTTGCACTGTTGGGAATGCAGACTGGTGCACCCACTGTGGAAGCAGATGAAAATAACTATGGAGTATCAATCAGTAGATGAAAATAACTATGGAATATTTACATAATGGAATACTACTTAGCCATTAAAAAATTACCCTTTGCGACAGTGTAGATGTATTTGGAAAGCATTATGCTAAGTGAAATAAGCCAGTTAGAGAAAGACAAATACCATATGATTTTACTCATATGTGGAAGGTAGTGAAAAATGGGGACAGACTCATAGATGGAGAGAACAATGACAGCTAGCTGGAGGTGGGGAGGTTAGGATTGGAGAGATTCAGCGAAAATTCAAAAAGGACTCAAGAACATGGACAACAGTGTGGTAACTGCTAGGAAGAGAGAGGTATAAGGGGACTAAATGTTAATGGAAAAAGAATAAAATTAAGGTTAAAAATAAATAAAAAATTGATTTTGCAACGTTACTTTCACTGGTGTTACAAGGAGATATTAGTTCATTGCTGATTCTTATTAGCATCTTTTCTTATGTTTACAATAAAAACCTAGATGTTTGAGAATCCAGTTTACTAGATAGTTTCAAGCATCTAAATCAGAGTGAACCATTAGAATTGAGAAAGAAATAATTATCCTCTGTTTTACACTAGTCATTTTCCACGTATTAACACACACCTTTCCTGACCAAAGAATCTAATCTGGGAGTAGAGGATGGTCTGTCTCTGTGCATCCAGCATCAAAGCAGAGAAAATGACCTTCGGAGGCAGAGGACCTGGTCTCACCCAACAGGAAATGCAGGCACTAGAGTACAGTTCAAAAATGCGAGTAGAAAGGATCGATGGCCTCAAAGTAGGGCCCGTTTTGTGAAGCTTCTTTAGTAAATGACAAATAAGTGAGCAAAAATAAATAAGAAATCTAACAACCCCCAAATTTATACATGCATATAATATTGAAAAGAGGTTCAGAAAAAAATGGTAAAAGGCAGACAACTGTACTTGAACAACAATAAATAAATAAATAAATAAATAATCTTTATTATATTCTATTTGATAACTAATCTAAAGCAATTTTTATGATTACCCTTAAAAAAGGCATTGTAAAAAATATATGCTATAGAGAATATAACCTTCATACATTCAGAAACCTACCTATAAAATGCATTGTTTCATAATATCCCTGGACATTTATTTTATATGATCTATAAGAAACAATATGTATTTTTCCTCATATCTTTCTCTTTTCTGTTAAAACTCTTACCCTTCATTGCTTCTCCTACTACTATCCCTGTGACTATAAGCTTCCCCCAATTTTTTCCATATCTTACAAAGTCAAGAAAGTAAACCATAGCTTTCTGGAGCTGGTAAATCTAAATTTTTTGGCCTGCAGGTTCTCCACCTCACAGTTTTACCCTCCATGCCATTATCTCCCACTGCTTTATTTTTTAAATTAAATCATTTTTATTGTTATTCTATTACAGTTGTACCAGTTCTTGCCTCTTCACCCTCCCCCACACATCCCACTGCTTTCTAAAGCTAGCCCTGACTCCAACCTCAGCCAACACTTTTTCTTTGTCTTTGATTTCCTCTGTGTACTATGCTTTCTCACCACCTGCTGGGAGATAATGGGAAACACAAACACTGGTCTCTGCACCCAGTTTCTGGCACAGACCTCTTAAATTCCTTGGAATATTCTGGGTGACAAGAAAGTCTTTTGTTCTAATGAGGCAAATGGTGGGTTCCTAGAGGAAGGGTCATCATCAGAAGGATCAAGCCATGATTAGAAGCTTGGAGCTTCCAGCCCTGCCACTCCTCTTTTACAAAGGGAAGAAGGGCTAAGGATTGAGTTAATGATTAATTGTACCAATGTGCTGAAGCCTCCATAAAATGGCAAAAGTGTGGGGTTCAAGGAACTTCTGGATTGGTGAACACAACTACATAGAAGTTGGTGCACCCCAACTCTACAGACACAGAAGCTCCTGCCCTTGGGACCCTTCTGGGCCTTGCCATATGTATCTCTTTGTGTGGCTATTCATCTATGTCTTTGACCACATCTTTATTATGCAATAAATTGGTAACATAAGTAAACGTTTTTCTGAGTTCTGTGAGCTGTGCTAGCAAATAATTAAATTCCAGGCAAGAGGTTGTAGGAACCTTCTATTGGCAGTCAAATCAGAAAGAAGTTATGGATAACCTGGGGGCCAACTCCCTGCAATGGAAATCTCATATGGGGAGGGGGATGTCTCATGGGACTGAGCCCTTTAATCCATGAGATGTGAGCTAAATCTAGTTAATGTCAGAATTTAACTGAATTGTAGGACAACTGGCTGGTGTCAGAAAGAATTACTTGGTGTAGAAAAAGAATTCACACATCAGGTGTCAAAAGTGTGGGAGTGTGGTAGTAGTGTGAGAGTAACAGCAAAACACACAGAAGTGAGTTTTCTTTACACCCACTTTTATCTTTTTCCAGTTATCCAATCCTATCCCTTCTTCAAAGTACAAATTCCAGAATTCCTTCCTTCATGAAGTGTGCCCTCGCCACCTTTGGCTGTAGGGGAAGGGTGCTTCAAAGGGCTTTCCTGAGGATCAGTTCTAACTTTTGCCCTCACCTTAGTGAAGCAATTCTGTACCCTTGCATTATCTTTTTAAAGATTCCTGAAGCAAGCCCATGCGGGGTTTCCTTTTTGCTTCCAAAGAACTTTGAGTGATATACATAGCTTGGGGAACTGAAATGTGACTGGTAGACACTGAAATCTGCTGTAAACAGAAAATACACACACAATTTCAAAGGCTCAGTATAAATAATAATGTAAACTATCAATGTATTTCTACATTGAATACATATTTCCATAGTATTTTTACGTATAGTTAAACAGCATTATTAGAATTATTTTCTCTTTACATTTTTAATGTGTCAACTAGAAAATTTTATATTACTTGTGTAGCTCACATGATATTGCATAAAACAACACTGATTTAAAATGATTTATGTTCCTAATCTGGAGACATGGGAATAAAAACACTATTTCCTGAAATTTTGTGAATTTATTGAAAAATTTACAGTTGTATCCCATATATTTAGAATCCCTCTCTGTACCTAGATATTGATATTTCAGAGAGTGTTTCTGAGAGCTTTGTCTGTTTATGCTGTACAAGTTTAGATCCATTTGTAACTATGGTATTTTCAGATATACAAGTATATTTAAGTTAATGAAGGAAATAAAACAACCCAAAATAAAACAATTACTTGACCATATGTGCTCTATGGCAAATTTTTAGTGATTAAAGTTTTAAAGCAGAGACACATTATTTTTTTCTTCATTCTACCTCAATTACTGAAAAGATTCACCTATTTGAATGCAAGTCACTTTAATCTTCAGACTCAAGGACAGGATAAGGTATTTCTGTTTACAAGTTGTCATTTTAAATAATGTCATTTTTTTAAGTTTCAACATAAGTAAGTTTAAAAATTAGCAAATTTTTGTGGGAGGATTTAGTATAAAATGACTCACCTGATCTCTTAATACATTAAAAATATAAATATTTTATGAGTTTCCATTTGAAATTCATACTATGCACCAAAGAGAATTTATCATCAATACAAGCAATACTTGCCTGATACTCTTGCAGGTTTTTCTGTTTAAAGCAAAAACAAAAAACAAGTTCTGTTTAACTCAGATAAATGATAAATGCAAATATTATACATCAAAGAATTATATAAAAGTTTTTAATATCTTTTGACTTTTTTCTTATTGTCTAAGAGTTAATGAAGAAATATAGCTCTCTATTGCCTGATAACAGGGGTCTTCGAATATTGTAATTGCTTTTATGAGTTCTATAAAAAAAGCTATTAATCATTGCAGGTGTCACAACATATTTATGCTTTCTCCACACACTAAAATCAGCAGGATCTTTTTAAAATTAAGTGTGTTGGTTCAATTATAATTATACCTAATTTGTAAATAATTACTTCATATGATGTGATTAATCTAAATATATGCTTGAAAGTATCCAAATTTTGTAAAAATATATCATTGAAAGTTAGTTTCCTTTCAAAGGTGAATAAAGACAAATAATTACCAATGGGACTGTAAAATCAAATCTTAAAAAGCAACATGCAAAATCAGTTTAATTTTTCATAACTGTTTATTAGATTCAATGAGAGATTATAATTCTTCAAAGTAATATGGTTTTCCATTAAACTGCATTGTGTAGGGCAAAGATATAAAGTGAGATGATTGTCTCAAATACTATAGCAGGCATTCTAACTTGAAAAAGAAGAGGATTGGTACATCTGCATTCTATCAACATTAGTCTAATATAAAAGCCAAGGCTTAAAAATATTTTCAAAAAGAATCTGCATTACATGATTTACTTTGAGACTTGTAGAGTTTCTAATATAGACATAATTTGGATGTTTCTAAGAGCTACAAATTCCTAAACATTAAGTTAATGCCAATAGAAATTAAAAAAAACATTTTTACTTGGGATACTTATGTTTTCAGTGATATTACAGCAACATACCTTATATATAAAATTGCAAAAAATAGAGTAATTCAGAAAAATACTTTAGTAAGGCTGATGTGTTATTATTTTTTCTCTAAAAATTCTAGGGTTAGCTAAAAAGACAGGAACTTAGAAAATAATCAAACATGTACTGAGGTGTAACAGACTGTCTACTGAATGAAGGAATGAATAGAAATGTGCCTATACTCTCAAATAGTTCTGGGTTGGACTTGTGCTTTTATATATAAAATGTCTTTGTTACTCTGTATTCATAATATAATGATCCTAGAAATGATGTACCTTCAGAATAGGATCAGAAGGGCATATCCATGCAAGGTCTGATTTCCTTGCACAGCCTTCTAATCGTAGCTTTAATAGCTTTGGGAATAAAGTGGTGTACATTTTATCTTTGGCCTGCGTTAATTGATAGAAAGCTTCCGCTTGTATTTTTCACAGTGTAATAAGAGAACAAAGCATGATGGAAGAGGCTTAACTGGTGAGTCTCTGGCATCATACTGACTTGGAGCCAATTCCTGTCTCTACCATATAAACACTCCGAGATGATAGACTTCCTTTCATCCCACTTTTACGTCATCTTTAAACTGCACATTGTGACTGGTCCTGTAGAAAGGTTTAAATGAACTAATAATGGAAAGGAATATGCCATGTGTATTCTAAGTAACTGGTTTCTTCTTATTTTTCTTACTGGTTATCTTAAAAGATATTAAACAACATTTTGGAAAAAGTACCAATATGTAATGTGTGCTCCTCTATCTTTCTATAAATTTGGTTTGCTCTCTTATTCTAAATTTTATTCCTTAATACTATTGATCATTATATGTCTAAATTATTAATAATCTCATGTCTAAAAATGTCCTGTTATTTTAGGTATACATGCTATAGTAATCAGCAAGAGGAAATAGTGCAAAATAAAACACTCCCCCCAACACACACATGAGATCAATAGAGTTACAAATGAGACTACTTGCACACTCGGACAGGAATGAGATAGAAACCAATATTTAATGAGTGACATTTTGTGTAATGGGAAAGCTACATGTATTATTTTATTTAATACTTAGAATAAGCCTTTGGGGAAGTCACTATGCCTGCTCTATAGATGAGGACACTGGGAATCTGGGCAGTTAAGGAACTTTCTCAAACATCACATAGTTAGATAGAGGCTCAAATTTACATACTATTTCCACAGACCCATGTTACCTCTTCTGGAAAAGAAACTATTTACCTGATTCTCTGACTTCTGATGTTTCTGCTTTAGAAAGGAAAAATATATAATAGGGAAAAAGGAAGAAAAATAAAGGAAATAATATTTTTTATTTAAATAGCAGACAATTGAGCATCAGCTGCACATATTTCTGATAGAATTCTAATAGTGATGACAATAGAGACCTATACTCAAAATGGAAGAAGAACATACTGATGACCACTATTTCTGAAAACTGTAACTGGAAATCTATTTTGAAAATAGAGCAATTTTATAAACACTGTTAAACAGTCTATTCATATATGTCAGAATTAATCAGTTCTAAGCCCTTTGGTTGCTTTTCTTAATTATAAATAATTGGACATTATAAATCTCCATTATATAAACTGTGTTATATAAACAAAGATTAAACTTGACTTTCATGTATCCATGAAGGCATGTGTTCATTGAATGTATTTATAAAGTAACTTCATGTATGACTTACTAAGTGCAATAGTGGGATTGTAGAATGAGATTGAAAAATATCACAGAAATAAACTCAACTCACAGTGAGTGCAGTTGGAATAATGAAACAAGATGTAAAATGCTATTTGTCCTTAGCCAATGACAAGGTAGCATCACTCTCTTGTTCCTTTAGTAAATTTATAGACTAATACTATTTTAAAAATAACATGTCAGGTTTTTGATGTATCTTCCCTCACAAATCAGCTGAAAAGAGAACCTGATACATTTAATTTCAATCCTATACATCTTTTTGGGAAGCTATTTTCAAAATTTAAGAAAAATTGATTAAAATATTTTACAATAATTAAGACAGAAAATGAATAACATTTCATAAATAAAACAGTATTTGTAAATGATTATATTTTACATTAACATTCTAGTTTTGACTTTCAATCCTTAATTTTTATTACACTTTTCACATTAGTAACAGTAATGCAAACTTTGTAGACTAGGGATTTTCTCTAACTCAAAGTGAACATTTAATGTTTTATATTGGTATAGAAATCTATTCTGAAGAAAACTGTAGCTGCATTTATAAGAATATGTCATAACACCCTCAAGGAACTGGGTTAGTCCTTGCCATTTACAAACTTCAGATATAACTTCTAGATACACTCTTGATTGAAATGTGCATAATTTTACCCCAGGGTAAAGTGTGGGTCATAATTTCACAGTATTAAATAAACAATTTATTTTTGTAAAATTGAATAACATTCATAAAATTTAAATGTTTCATAAATCATTTTATTTTACTGTTGGAACCATCAAAATAAAACCATAATTCTGAAATATTAAAACAACTTCCATTTGATTTTTGACAAAAATAAGAAAATAAAGAGCTAATGTGTTAAAATGAAATAATTGAGGGCATTATGTGTTCTGTATTTTTCTTAACCCAGTAGTGACTATTAAAGGGAACTCCATACTGTGCTTACTCAGTACATCCTAACAAACAACCCAAAGTATACAAAAGAGAGATGTGACTTTTTATTTTTCCTGCAGGTCTTAGTTATTGTGTTGAATGTATTAATTTCACAGGTCTGAAAACAAAAAATCATTTTAGGCAGTTCTCATATACCTGATATGGTATAATGTATCTAATAGATACTTAAAAAATACATGTTCAAGAATTAATAAATACAATGCACATACTATTCTTTCTCAATCAGAGTTATTTGCATGGTTAATGGCATGATAGTTATTGCATTAATAGACATACATACTGGACCTTTTAAATGCATTTACAATATAAATAAATTATATATTTAAAATAATTAAAGAACAAGTTATTAAAATAATTAAAGAACAAGTTATTAAAATTCTAAAATAGTACACTTACTTAGAGTTGGTTTTGATTTCTCTAAAAAAGGAAGGAAAATAAAATTAGCAATAATTTTCTATCTATAGATAAAATGTCAATCACTTTTATTTCCTATTTGTTTGTTCCAGTTCAAGCAGGCAAAGGCCAAACATAATTAAAACGAACACTAAACAATGCATATAATTTGAGTAATTTTTAAGTCATATTCCCATGCACTTTCCAAAGGAGAAGTTATAAACCTTCAAAATATAGATTCTTCATGGGCTCCTTATTCTTGTAAAGCCTCATCTTTGGTTTCATGCAACATGAATGCTCATGATAATTTGAACTCTTTACTGTTTCTGAATAGCATAAAATGCATGTTTTGTCACTATCCTTACAGAATATGTATTATATTAATTAATATTAACTATTTAAATTCTTCTAATCTAGTTTTTGAATGAACATGTTTAATTTATAAAATCTGAGGAAGACTAAATGAACAGTAGGAAAAAACACAAAGCTATACCATCTAAACACATGATCTCTCTCCATTATAACTTGTCTCCTGAAGTTATTAACTAAAGCATTAATTACTCAGTCTTACACCACAAGATTTAATTATTCAATAAAATAGCCAACATTTGTCCATGATTGTGAAGAATTAGAATCATCCAAAATTATGACAACTAATTATTTCATTAACAGTAGGCAGTACAAATTGACACAACTTTTTTAGAGAACAATTAAAAATGTCTATAAAATTACATTTTATTGAAAATTTTTACTTTAAGAAGTTTTATCTAAAGTTAAACTTACAAAACTATAAAAGGAGATTTATGTATTATTGTATATCATTAAGGGAAACCTTCAAAATACATTCTTAAATAGAAAAATCCAGGGAAAGTGCTATTTATACTATGCCATGATTTATGTTAAAAAAGTGGGAATATCCATTTTTTGTATGTATATGTTACATATTTATACATACTACTAGAATGATACATTAAGAATTAACAATGATTACCTATTCAATATTATTAGATATTTTTGGTGTGGGAATTGATATAATAGGAAAAATTTGTATGTTTGGAAATTCATACATATTGATAATAATATTTAACAAAATGTTTAATTGTCATTAATACTACAGCCCTATCTCATATAAACTAGATTTTACCACAAACCACAAGACTAAGCACTCCCAGAAAATAAAAATTTGAAAAACACTTTTATGCTTTTCTTTAACTTTCAAATTTAATAAAAGTAGTGAATTAAGGCAATGTAAACAAAAAAAGCAAAAAACCTGTTTTTGTAAGTGGAGATTCTTTTTCTTGATGTTCAACTTTTTCTAAGGAGAGAGAAATCAAAATTAACTGGCAATCCATGGATTATTTATGTAGCAAGGTTTTCTTATTAATACACATGCAGGCTATTTTCATTTATATGGGAAGCATGCCCCCAGAGTCATTTGCATGTAACTTGGAACACAGAAAGCAGAGTGCCATAGAAACACATTAAAAACAAGGTCAGGTTCATTCTCAGGGCATCTTGTAAGACAGATGTGAAGGTATTAGCCAGCTTGGGGTTAGGTGATTAGAAAAAAAAGGTAGAATATGACAAAGAGGGGAATAACAAGAGGATTTTTCTTTCTTTCGTGACTCATTCCTTGGGGACATTTGTCTTTGCATATTACAAATTTCTTTTTTATCTCTTGACTCCTTCCAGTTCTCTTCTTGCTCATTCGGAAGCAATTTGATTCTGGACATTTGTTTCTTATTGAAAAATTACCCTAAACCAGACCTATTCCAGAAAGTACCACATTTGTATTTTCACTTTCCTGGACCAAATACACTGTCTTTCCAGGTATAGTTAGAATTCTCATCGATGAATATAAACTAAGTCTAGTACATGACAAATGGAATCAAAAAGTAAAATTGACATATCTGTTAGTCTTCTGAAAAATATTTGAATTAAAAAATAGGAGATCTCTCTCTTTCATCAAAAGTGGAATTCCAAATGAAGCCATGTAGGGTAGCCTACTTTGATTAGAGCTGAGGATATTTGGAAATAGTGATCTTTGCCAAGCATTGATTCTTTCTGCTCAATTCCAGAGTTAGTCCTTCTGAGCTGTTATTAATACTTACCCATCCTTTGCTTATTTCACCCCTGAGTTAGGAGATTTTCTAAAAGTACTACTATTCTTCCCTAACATGGTACACTAACAGTAAGGGAGGAGGGTTGAGGCAGGACCCAGGGTCTCATAAGACTAAATTGGATATATGTGAATTCAGGACTGACAGAATTCAAGAATGAAATTCTATGAACTTAGTTTGCATAAATGTTAATATTAAACAGACATGCAACATGTAAGAAAATGAAAAGTTAACATTCAGGTTATTAAACTGTCCTAGTAATAGCAATAAAATAGCATAATAAATTATAGTAATAATAATATCAAATGTTTTTCAAAATACATGGAACAAGTTCTAGGGTAGGACTATCTGGGCTCCATGTGGTTATAGCACATCTGAACAACTTGTATAGCCTTCTAACTGGTCTCACCAAATTCAGCTTGGGACTTTGTTGATGCATTTTTATATAGGAGCCAAAGAATATTTTACTAACAGCTACTACTCATACCTTCATCGAAGCTTCCATTCCACAAATATATCATTTAAGAGCTATCATCACAATTTTGCCACAATTTTGAACACATTTATTACTTTTGTGACAATAGGCAAATATTCATGCCTTCCTGAGCATTTTAGCCAGCTTTTAAACTATGAACAACTGTAATAACTTCTGTATCACTTCTGAACAATAAAATGGCTGATTTTTAAAGTCTATATAATGAGAAAATTCCATGATTTTAATAACAAGTCATAAAATGTTTGTAATTGTATGGATTTCAAAATACCAACAGATATATTATAATATAATTAATGCTTCTTAAATAAATTAAAACAGTATATGGCTCACAATACTAACAATTGCATAGAATTTCTTACTTTTGTTATTTATTATGTTGTTTAAAAGATTCTCATTTACCTTAACTTCTTCGTGTTATTTTATAGCCAAAATGTACTCACTGTTTTCATGTTAATAATAATGAAACAAGTTCTGGATATTTCATCTATATAATTATAGTTAACTATTAATAGTAGTGAAAGAAAGGAATGTTAAATCAAAGCCATAGCAATAACATATCTTTATCACCTATATAGGTATTTTATTCCTAAGCAAGGCTAAATATAACAGTTTTAAAAAGCACATTATTAAAGTTAAATAACCAAGCAATACTACTCAGGTTTATTCTTTTCATCTCTTACTTGCTGGTTTAGTCTTGACTGTGGAGAATGGAGAAAAATAAATGCCATATTGATGAATATAAACCATGGAAAGATAACTCTAGTATTTATACTTAACTTTCTTAGTTTTTAGATTTTCTTTTTATCTTAAGTTTAATCCATTTTCACTGAGCCCTATTATTTCACTGTCAACAAATAGATTAATCACATTACTAGTGAAAAACTAAGACACATGAAATGTATATAAAATTTTAAACAATTGATGCATTTGGTACATAAATATTGTAAGTGGAGCTGCTTTCTTCATAATCCTCAAATACCCACATAACTAATTGAGATACATAGGGGGCCACATTAACACATGAGGGTAAAAGTTAGGGCTGCATTAATTGAAATAATGAGCTTGGGAAATGGTTTGGATAGAGTACAATTACCATAAGAGGTAATTTGAAAGGGCCTTATGGATTTTTCTTTCTTTTGTAATAATAGTCTGTAATTTCTTTAAATAGTTCTTTCCTCTATTCTATTATATTTCCCTCTGAGAAACTGTATTTAAATCTTTATTATCATGATTATCTCAGTTGAAAGAAATTACTTCACAGACTTTTCCATTGAAATTATTTTTTTGTAAGAGATTGGACACTATAAATGACTGAGGTGGGTAGGATTTTCTGTCGCAAAATCACATGGAGGAAGTTCAGGATTTTAAGATGTCAGTATGAATGGAGACTCAGTTTTGTTCATCCTTACAGAGAGACCTCTAGAGCTGCAAGAGTATGTGCCATTCTTATTTTTCTCACATGAAATAATAAAGGATGGACAGTTGTTCCTTTAATATTACATATTCTGCTGCTCATTCTTTAGGGTAAATTTCTTTTAAAAGATTGTATTTATTTATTTTTAGAGAGAGGGAAAGTTAGGGAGAAAGAAGAAACATTAATGTGTGGTTGCCTCTCATGTGGCACCCACTGGGGACCTGACCCACAACCCAGGCATGTGCCCTGACTGGGAATCGAACCGGTGACCCTTTGGTTTGCAGCCTGCACTCAATCCACTGAGTTATACCAGTCAGAGCTCTTTAGGGTAAATTTTAAAAGTTATACAATCACCTAACTCTAGACTTCTCATAAGAATAAATTACTTCATGTAACACATAAATAGTAGGCAATTTCAGTGTTTTTGGATCTTTAAAGTTCGAGAAAATGGTTTGAGGATAGGATTAAAAACTTAAGAGCACATAATAATCAATGTATTACACAGATTTTCTTATGAATTATATGTAAACTTAGGTCAATCACACTTTTAAAAAATGAAATGCTACTCCAGTTTTCCAGAGTTGATTTCTGTTGAGCATAACTTTAGTTATTTAGAAGAATTTAAAATCTTAGAATTGATGTCACTAATGGTGTACAAACTTCAATGAAGGTTTGTGTGTGTGTGTGTATACCCACATAAAAATAACGGATACATAGAATAAAATATAAAATATATATTTACCTGTTTTTTCTATTGGGGTAGCTTTTACCTGCTTGACACCTTTTTCTTCTGTGATAAGAAAAAATATCACAAGTAGAAATTTTAAATGTGTAAGCACAAAATAATGGCATTTCAACCTTGATATTTTGTGTTTACTTTGATATAACACCAATGTTGAGAGAAAATGTAGATGTTTCCTTAAGATAGAAGGTGATGTCTTCCATTTAAATTGGATGGAGGCACAAAGAAAACTGGTCCATCGGCAGATGTCCCTTGCAGCTATGTTGCCACAAAAGGTTTCCTAATTCAAATCATCCCTTAATCCACCCAAACACTCCTTATCCCTTGCCTTTATTACATTTCATTGTATGTGTCTACATAGAAATATTGCTCTATAAAATATGTATCCCTTTTTCATTATGGCATTAGAATAAGAAAAAGCATTTTTTAAATCTCTTTTTATGCATGATGCCTCCCTGGGAACCTGAGGGTTATACCAGGAACTCAAGTTTTTTATGGTGTAAAGCTGGGGCAGGGCAAACACAGTATGTTTACAGGGTGTCTCCTGTTCTCTACGTTTTTATGGACATACTCAAAGATTTTGGGTTAAAGTAGAGAGATAATTATGATGATCCTATATAAAATTAAACTTTTCAAGTAATCAGCTGGTCAAATATTCAAGTGGGAAAGGTTTATTGGGAAACAGAATTTAAAGAATATAAATGATATTACTGAAATAAAAGAAAGGTGTAGTGAGAAAAATAATGTATTTGCCATACACTCGAAGACTAAAATCTCCCATTGTCTCTGTAATTTCACTTCAAAATGATGGACATCAGGAACAGTGAAGAAAATAACAGGTTTTCATCATTCTTTCAGAATTGTTTCTAAGGTTTTACTTAAGTAGATATAGATAGCTATTTTCCACTTCCCACGTTCCAGCTCTTGCTTTCTTTATTTCTATGGTTTCTGTTGTTGATACTTCATATTTTTTAAAACATAAGCAAATAAAATCATTCTGACTCAAACCCATAGTAAACAGATTCTCTAAAATAAAGGGTTTACTAAGATGTGTTTAGAGAAAATATGTTTTTAACTTTTTAAAGATTCTGGATAAAACACATTCACAGCATTGTGTAAATAATTCAGCAAAGAATGAAGGACAAAATTCTAGAGGATACCTAAGGTATGGGGTTGCCTCAAAATCAAGTTGTTATTTAATTGACTTAAATTAAAACAAAATTTCTTGTCTTAAATAAAAACTAATTAATAAACTTATCCTGGTAACTTCTGTATTCATCTTTATGAACAGAACTCATTGGCTTACCTATATTTGGTCCAAAATATCAGATCAGAAATTAAAAAAAAGGAAGGGAAATGAAGATGGAGTAAGGAAGAAAGGAGGAAAGGAAGTGTGGTGAAATGTCGATTTCCTTTTGTTTTTCTTTTTTTGGAGTCTAAGATGGTCATGTTTGAATGAGTAAATCTGAATTACAGATGTTTTCTAAGGATGTCTTGCCCCAAACAGAACAAGAAAAAGTAATATATATACCTCATTCACCTGAGTGCTAGCAATGATGTCTTTGTGCTTTTAGTATCTCTGATAGGAAGCAAGACTAGTTGTGTAGTTACTTGGGACTGGTCAAGTCCTCAGTATAAAGAAACATTGTGAGGATGACTAAAACCAGATGTTCTAGCATCTGGGTGACTCAAAACATTAATTCTATCTAATAACTTTATAATTGACTTTAAGCTCTTCATACTTCTAAAACTAGACCATTTAGAGGCAATTTGATACTACAAATACCACCTGCAAAATACCTGGTTTACCATGAGAAACAGTCTTTTCTGGTTTCACTGTGTCTTTTTCTAAAAATAATGAAAAGAAAATATTTTCAGGTGTTTGGCGCTATAAACTAACATACAGTGAATTTTCTTTGTGACTTAGGTCAATAATTTGTTAAGCGGGAGACATCAACAACTGTGCCCATGGAGAAAAACTTCCTACATTTTCATGTCATCCTAGTTGACATGAAAACCTTAAAGACTTTTGTTGAATAAAAACCGTATGCCAAGAATTCTTATTTACATTTAAGCACCCATGGCAGCCAAAGATCAGGCTGTAATAAAGCATCAATCCTGAAATCAGGAGTCTAGGCAATGGTTGGAATAGAGAACAATGGTCCTGTGGAGTAATGTGAGAATACATATTATTAAAAATGCTTCAGAAATGTCTTACATAAATTCTACATGAGTATTATAGATAATATTCATATATACTGCATATTTGAGCTTTTTTAGATGAAGCTAAAAAGAAACTTATTTGTAAATCTAAATAATAACATTCAATTAAATTACTGCAAAACAGCACTATTTAATAATAAAAAATAAAAGTTTTAAATGATATTAGGACTAACTAGAAGTTTGAAATGGTGTTAGGTTTCTGGTAAACAAAATAAAGGGGAAGAGGCATATGCAAAGCATTTATATTTGGTAATACATACTCATCTGTAGGAAATAAATATAGTCAGAAAAATAAGGAAACGATAGATAGACATCTATGAGCCTTGTTACATTGAAAAATATATTGTTTATAAGAGCAACTAGATTCAAGTATATAATCAGTTGCTAAGTAATACCTGGTAAGAATTAAATGGTTAATACTTTATATATATAATATATATATGTGCACATATATTATATATATATTCAGATTCTTGACCTTATTGATATTGAAGAATACTGCTGTATAATTTTTTGTAACACAGAAGTCACTTCTCTAGAGATGGAGATTTTTTGTAACTTGCCTCAGGTAAATAGCTAGTTGGTACCAGATCTAGGACATAAACACTAAATAGCAGTGTACACTTGGAAAAGTCACCCTGATTTTAGGTCAATGTTACCTCAGTACAATGATGGTCAATCTGGGACAATCATTTACTGGGAGCAGCTGTGATTGTGAGTAAATTAGACATGGACAAAATCTATGAACTTAAAAACATCAGAAAAATAATTTCTGAACTTGTTCTATTGAATTATTTCCACAGATATTAAATATGAGTGACAATTGTCATGTTTCATGTCCCTCATAGTTATATGATGAAAATAAAAATGTTATGCTATTCCTCAAATCATAACAGGTTTTATTAATTATATGTAATTATATATAATAATAATTCTTGCCCTCTTTACCCTTAAACCTCAGTTGTCTATGGTTTTGTGAATTTATGATGCTAGTGTGTTACCAGAAAGAAAGTCACAGATTAAACATTATCCTACCTGATTTTGAGGAATCCCAAGAAATGCCTCCTAAAAATTGGAGTCTCTGCAGAAGCTTAATTAAAGCCATATTTTTGATATTTTTGCTTATGAGATATCCCCATTCTCAGCTAATCCAGTACTATAAACACAATATATATTGATCAATGGAGTAGGAAAATAATGAGAATCTGGGAAACTGTGTAAATCTCCACTGATGGATGTTGAGCCTCTTTTAGTTCTAAAATGAAGATATCAGCTCTATCAATTTAAGAATAAAAAAAAATGTTACCTGATTTTGTTTCTTTTCTAGCTTGTGGCTCTGAAGGTAAAACAAAATGCAGAAATTTTAAAATCTGAAAAAACAAACTACAGCACAAATTTATTTTTGGAAATTATTTTGTTGACCATAATTGCAAAAGCAGAACTGCACTAAAAATCATTCCAGTTTCACGCTAGTTTCTAAATATTGAGCTATTAAACACATAGTTCTTAGAGTCATGCTATGTACTAAGTTTTTGCTACTGCTAATTTATTTTAACCTGAATTTTCTCTTTTCTTAAGATGATTGATGTGGAAAATAGTTTCAATATCAACATAAGATAAATGATTTAATAACAAGAGTTCGAGAATTTTCTTTGAAATAGATGTGATTGGGTACTTAGTGTTTTAGAAATTTAGAAAAAGAGTGTGATGTCTTGGATTGTGTCCCATCAAAAGATGCCTTAAAGTCCTAACCCCCTCCCTGTAACCCAGATGTGACCTTATTTGGTAATAGGATTGCCGCAGATGTAATTAGTTCAGGTAAGATGAAGTCATACTAGAGTACGACCCCAATCTCACTAATGCCCTTGTAAAAAAAGGGGAAAAACAGAACAGCCCAAGTGTCCATCAGTAGATGAGTGGGTAAAACAACTGTGGGACATTTACACAATGGAACACTACTTAGCTGTAAAAAAGAAGAAAATTTTACCTTTTGTGACAGCATGGGTGGACAAGAGGAAATGATGCAAAGTGCAATAAGCCAATGAGAGAGAGACAAATACCATATGATTTCACTCATATGTAGAATTGAGTGAACAAAATGAACTAACAAGCAAAATAGAGGCAAACTCATAGACAGAGAGCAAGCTCTTAGCTCTGGGAGGCGGTTATAAGTTGCAGAAGTCAAGCAAAAAATAAAAAGTGGACATGGACAACAATGTGGTGATTTCAGGGTGGAGGGATGTGGGAGGAGGTGGAAGAGTATAAAGGGGATAAATAGTAATGGAAAAATACAATACAATAAAAAATAAAATACATAGCCCTAAAAAAACACACACAGGAAGAAGATGGTTATGTGCTACTGGATGCCAAGATTGGAGTGATGCCTCTACAAGACAAAAAACACCAAGAATTTCTGGCAAACAAAAAAGCCAGAATAGGTAAGAAAATATTCTGCTCTATAGACTTCAAAAGAAGTGTGACTCTGCTGACATCTTGATTGTGGACTTCTGGCCTCTCAAACTATGAGGGAATAAATTTCCATTGTTTAAACCTACACAGTTTGTGGTATTTTCTTCCAGCCATCCAAGGAAACTAATAATTTTGGTACTTGGAAGTGGGGTGAGTTGGGTAATGGGTTAAGGCTGGAAAATTTTTGAGGCATTTGTTATTAAAAGCTCAGATTGTCTGGAAAAGATTCCTGACAGAAAATTGACATTAAAGACTATTCTTCTGAGGATTGAGAGAGAATTGAGGGGAGCTATAGTGGAAGCTTCTGTCTCCTTAGAGAATACATATGTCATCATGAACAAAATATTGTTAGAAATAAGAATGTTTCATGTACTTCTAAGATCTCAGAAGGAAAGGAGAAACATGTTATTGGATGAAGGAGAAAGAGCAATCTTTGTTATAAAGTAGGAGAGAACTCAGCTGAATTGTGTTCTTCTGTGGGTTGGAAGGTAGCATTTGTAAGTGGAGAATGGATATTTAGCTGAGGAAGTTTCCAATCAAAGTGTCAAAAGGTCAGCCTAATTTTTTCCTTGCTGCTTATAATAAAATGTGAAAAGAAAGATAAGTTGAGGAATGAACTCTTAAGTAAAAGAAACCAGCATTCAACACGGAATATTTTCAATCTATCTAAAAAGAATGAAGGGAGACACTCTTTGGAAGTGAAGGTGTAGCTGGACAAACTTTTGCTAATGTGGGCAAGGAATAAATGTGGGACTTACGGATTCAATTCACCATCTCAGCAGAAGGACCAAGAAAGACCTGTGGAAGACTTTTCTGTCCAATGGCTTGTTTCTCCATTAACTAAACTCAAGAATAGTCATGTTTTTGAGAATACTATACAAGCAGAAGGAATGCAACCTGGATAGAAAGGGACAGAGATAGGATGAAATAAAGGAATAATAACTCTGAGGACAGAACAATAGATTCAGACCTGGGCTGATGGAACCTCCTCAGGAGCAGAAGGCAGGCCTACTACCTCGGTGGGCCAAGAGAAGAGAGCCACGCCCTACCAAGTCCAGAGGACATAGTATTGAGCCAAAAGGATTTTCTCAGAATTTGAAATCTAATGGAATTTTCCCACGATGTTTTAGATTTACTTGGAAACTGTGACTAATTTTTTTCTTTCCAATTTCTCCCTTTTGGAATAGAAATGTTTATCCTATTTCTGTCCCACTGTTTTATTTTGGAAGCAGTAATTTGTTTTCTAATTTTATAGATTCACATATGGAGAGGAATTTTCTGCAGGAAGAATCATACCCCAAGTTTTACCCATAACTGATTTGCATAGTGAGATTTGGGACTTTGAATTGGTAAAATTTTGGTCTTAGAGTTGATGCTAAAATGATTGACACTTAAAGATTATGGAATGTACTTTGCACCACATGAACGACATGAATTGGAGGGTCATAGAGTGGACCTCTATGAACTGAATCTTGTTTCCCCAAAAGATATGCTAGAGTTCCAACCTCCACTACCTCAGAATGTGACCTTATACAGAGATAGGGCCATTGTAGACATAATTAATTAAGAATTTATCATATAGCAGTAGGGTGAGTCATTCATTCAATATGACTGGTATCCTTGGGAGAAAAGGAGAAAAGGTACAAGAGAGAGGCACAAAAAGAGAAGATATCCATGGGATGCCAGAAGCTAAGACTGGAGTGATGCTTTGATGAGCCAGTGAACACCATGGATTGCTGGCGAACACCAGAAGCCAGAAGATGCAAGGACTGATTCTTCCTCACAAGTGCAAAGAAATGCATGGCCCTGTTGACACCTTGATTTGTGACTTCTCATTTCCAGAGCAATGAGAAACTGTATTTCTGTGGTTCTGAGCCACCCAGCTTGTGGTATTTTACTAGCGCAGCCCTAAAAACCTAAAACAGCTAGGGAACATGAACCAAAATGTAAACTATAAAGAGAATCTGACTGATTTGTTTCTCTTAAAAAAAAAGGTTCTGCTGCCTACTAGAGCCCTCAGACATGTTTATCTTACTCAGAAGCCCCCACAAAAAGAGAAGAGGAAGAGCAGCTGTATTTTTTGATGAAATATTTATGTCCTGTATCTGCAAATAAAAGCAGCAAAATAGTGGTTTTGTAGGACAGAACTCAATTAGTCAATTCTTTTTTTTTCCTGTACCATATAAATTTCTCAAAATGTTTTCTCCTAAGAACAGGTAGTCCAAAACATGCACTATGTTTATTTTATTGCAAAAATTTATCAAGGATAAAATTTTAGAATAATGTTTACACTAGAACACAAATTTGCAAAGACATGTTATGCTATTTATCATAAATATGGAATATAAGTATAAATCTATACATTAAATGTACATACCTAGCTTCTCTTCTTTTTTCACTTGTGTCTCTGAAAACATATATACACAGTAATAATGGGGATTATATAAAGATATTTATTTCTTGTACTCATGCATAGATGGGTGGGCAAAAGTGGATTTACAGTGGTTTGTATGGAAAGTAATACAACAATTAATAAATAACAAGACAAGAACAGACCCTGTGTTTCCTGCACTCACACTGTAAACCTACTTTTGCCAACCTTACTTCTTTTACACATTATTCAGTTTTTCAATATGCCATGTTAATTTGCATCTTATAATTGCAGAATATTAACATAAATGGACAAATAGAAGTTCTTTATTATCATCACAAGAGTTATTTTGAGAAAAAAAATAGAATGTTAACTAAAATTTCTAATGGGAAGTTCATTAAAGGTACTGATTTGTACCTCCAGTGAATAAAGGGTGGAGGAATTGTTAGCACAGTGTATTCTGAGAAGAGCACTTAGCCTGATAGGTACAGGGTGCACAGAAAAAAATTGTCTCAGATTTAAGCAAAATACTCAGCAATGGAGTTATAAAATGATTAAAAGCATGCATTTATGATTTGTTTCATTCATTCATTCACTCATTAATTTTGGCAGGCATGTTACATACGTGGAGGCTTAGGCTTGACTTCTTTGCCTAGAAAGAGTTAAAAATATTTAAGACAAGTCATTCAATTCTTATTGAATTGTCATTGAATATGATAGAACATTATAAATTTGAAACTCAAAATCAAACAGTATAGACCCTAGCCATTCTTCCTTATTGAAATTTTATAGGATATGTAATTTAATGTTCATGCCAAGTTACTAATTTAAAACTTATTTGAAATAATAAAACACAGCTTAATTTCATTGCATCATTAAAATATAATTTGTTCACAAACTCACGTGCAGTGTTAACTTTTTAATCTTATATTGGTAAAGCACATAGTGCTTTTGAGGCACTATTTTTAACCTTTCATTACTCAAGATGAAAAACCTAAAACAATTTTTAAATTTCCATTAACATTGTCAAGATGTTATCTGTCCCTGTGTAATACATTAAAAATAATTGCTTCTGAATTTGTAATTCCTTATGACTAGAAACACAAAATTTGCTTTTTTGGCATGAGCAACCCTAGTGCAGGAGTTGGTAAATTTACTGTGGAAGGTCAGATATTATATAGTTTTTGGTTTGGGGCCATGTAATCTCTGTTGCAGTTACTCACTCTGCTATTGCAGCCCAGAAACAGTCATAAACAGTATGAAAATGAATAGGAATGACTATGTTCCCATAAAACTTTATTTACAGACACTGGTGGCCAGTGTACAGGCCAATGTTTGATAACTTTGTTCTATCCATAGTCCATTTTAATTTTCCTTTTTATCTTAACAAAGATTGTGACAGTAGAAAATAAATAAAGGAGGCTGGAAGTCAACCTAAAATACCCTTCATGCTATCCCATCCCTACTCAGTTGTTCACAGATTCCTGGTGATTACACATCCTAAATATATCTTGCATATACTTCCACTTTTCCACGTGTACTTCATTTCCTCCTCAGTTTCTACCTACATTCTAGCCTCAAATACATCATTTTCATTTCCCAGTTTCCTTCTTTACCTGATGCCCTTTGCCCCTTCTTGCAAGCTTTCACCACACCACACTCATTTAGGACCCAGCTCAGCTATTGTCTCCCTCTGGCAACCTTTCCTGAGCTCCTTCCAAGATGGGTTATATGTCTCTAACCTTTACTCTTAGAACTCCATGTAAACCACTATGTCTACACATTGCAATTATTTGCAATACTTTGTAATTATTTACTCAGGTGTCTCCCCCAAATAATTTGTGAAACTCATTATACAGAGACTGCAACTATCATCTTAGTATTTTTAGTACTGTGCTTGGTCTCAAACATAGTCAAACATTGACTTTAATGAACAAGTGGAAACTCTACGGAAACGGAGTGTTCCTCTATTCAGTAAAGCACAAACTAAACACACTCCCATTGACAGCTTATCAAAGACCCTGCAAATATATTTGAAAAGGGGTTGCAGAGAGTTATTTTAGAAGAGTGGCCCTTCTCTGAAACATATCAACATAAATCTTTTATTTCTTTTCTTTACATAGCAGGTTTTTCAAAATTGTGCATGGTTGCCTTACTTTGAGATAATTGAAAATAAAATGTGAAAGATTATGTATGAGATTTCTCATTAATATTGGTTATGGTTATTTCACCCAAGAAAAGGAGAAAATTATACCATGTTTAGGTGTGACTATTGAGTAGTTTTGGTCTGAAATACAAAATTTATTGAAGATAATTTTTCAGTTGGATAGCACTATCTGGCACAGCATGTTTAAATCATGAACATTTACTGAACTGTATTACCCTAAATACCTCTCCATTACATTCTGATTCTTTAAGTGGGTGTTAGAAAAACAAAAGAAGGAAATAATAAGAAATGATGTAAGTCCAGTGAGATTTAACCCTTCTTTTAAAGGTCAGGGCATACGGTAAGGATGGAGATTGTTTGAGGAGAAAAGCAAAGTAAAATATCTGAACTTGGATGGGTTGTCTAAAGTGACAGGCACAGCCCCAAGGTACCTCTTTTTCTGCCCTGTGTGTTATTGGTTACACTGATCTCAGTACCTCAGCCTGACACTATTTCATTCTAAAACCAGAAATGTGGAAATAGAAGAGATGGGTAGTTATTGTTTCTTTTCCACTACACCCAAGTAAATAGTCTCATTTACCTTCCTTAAGGTGTTTCATGTTACTCAGAGCTAAATTTGAATAGCATATGAAAGAAGTTTCTTCATGTTTGTCCAAAAGAGGTATTTAAAATATTTTCTTCTGGAATATGATTCAATTATTAAATATCATACCTGTTTGAAGCATCACAAGTGTGAAACATTTCCTCATAGGCTTGTGAAATATTTCCATATAAAATATCATTGTGTTGATCCAAAAATTAAAAAAAAATACTTGAGCTAAGAGCATTGTTTTAAAAATTGGGTAATATAGAGTGTTATAAATAATACGAAAACATGTTTAATCACAGAAGAAAGAAAAATGGAGAATAATTATTTAAGCTTAAATAAGCTTAAATAATTAATGAAAATGGCATATTTTAGAATAGCAAAGAAGATATAAAGTAAGAAATAATGTTGACATGGGGGAAACTGGATTTTTGTCAATTTTGTCATATTCTATCAGATTAACTCACAAAGTAGCCTGGAAACGGAAGACTCTAATGGAGTTGACATCTTCACAGGCAAGTGCCTAAAAGCCTCTGAGTTTTTGTTTTAATTTAGAAGAGTGAGACCACAAGCTTCCTTTGTATCAGGTCTAAAAGCCTGCTCTAGTGCATTGTTTCTGCCACCCTGGAAGATCTCAATTCAAATCTCATTACTACAACCTTTTTCAATTAGCTTTTAAATTGAGTAAAATTGAGAAGGAGGATTTTCAGAGAAATCTTTTCTAAAGGAGCTAAAAAGACCATTTTTTAAATTTGCCTGAACGAAAAAGAAAACAAATTCTGGGGAAAGACTGAACACAAGAATTATGGTTTTTGGAAGAGTCTGAAATATATCCATTGAAGAAATAAAAAGATGAACTATCTGAATATTGAATAATAATACTTTGTTTACACTAATGCATGAGTAGAGTTTAGTAATTTTAAATGAAGCTATATTTCTTCTTCCTTTTTCTTAATGACGAGGCCTTCCTTAGAATCCACAGGGCATATGTATCTCCTTTCAACCAGCTGAGAAAACTTGTACCTGACATAAATGTATTCAGCAGTTACTAATAGGATTGTACTTGATTGATTAACTGAATGGGCTAAGAAAAATTTCACCTCCTAATCTCCAGAAGGTAAATTTATTCAGAAAAATTTCAATTTCAAGACTACAGTACTGAAGTCACAATTACAAATAAAAATAGAAGGTTTTAAGACATAAGTGGTTAATATTCAGAGGTTAGGCATAAAAAGGATTACATCTTTTTAAATTAAATACAAATTGCTTTCATTTCCATAAACTAAATGGCTAACGTGTTTCTCTTTCAGATTTTAAAAGACTCTATCACATTTTAATTCTGGAAAATTATCTCATGTACTTATTAGTATACTTTATGGATAGCGCATTTAATATTAATTTGTGCCCCAAACCATGATAAGCATTTTAAATGAAATATTTTAACACAGTTACTCTCATGAGACCAATTTCCCCACTTAATACATTAAGAAAAAGTCTTCCATGTTATTTGACTATATAACTATATTACATTTGTTTATTCAAAAACATTTACTGAGCTCTTACTATGTGCCAGGAACTGTTTCAGGCACAAGATACATGAAATAATCCAACAAAAATCCCTGCCCTAAGGAACATGTAGCCGTGCTGTGTGATTCATAGCATTTGAATTTACTATCTAAGTATTGCATTGGGTTCTGAATTCCAAATAAGTACACCACCACACTAACTTCTTTGTTTGTTTTCCACCAGCACCTCCATCTCTCTGTTATTCTGAGAATGGAATGGTAATAGAATATTTGAGGTTCTATCTTTTGTAGTAAACTATATCTAGAATCTGTTGGCAAGAGAAAGGTGCACTTTATTTAAGGTTACCTTAAGGTCAAAGAGGAAAATTTGTGACATTATTAAGTCTTTCGCTCACTGCCTTACAAATCAAATTGAATTGTGAGTGATGTCATTGATATGTTAAAAAAAGTCGTGTCCCCTTGTTTGTGAACTGGGGATCCATTAGATTATTATTTCCGCATCGTTGCCTGTAACGTGGATAAAATGTTGGAACTTAAATACAAAATCATTATGAAATCAAATTACGGTATGTATATATGTGAGTAAATCCTCTTAGTTAAGAGATAAATTATTCCACCGATGTTTTTTTTCCCCCCAGGATTTGGACTAGTGGATACTCAATAAATGTCTTTGAACTAACATAGTAGAAGTCATTAAATTTTTCTCGATATATTATGTTTGTTTGAGGTAATAAACCCTCTTTGAATATTATAATGGCACATACCTGGTGGCTACTGAGTAAACATTAGTGTATCTTAGAGACAGTGGTTACCTTGTTGTCTGTAGGGATACTTATGAAGTATATACCTCCATTGCCACATTCTAGCAATTACTCAGTGCTCCACGTCAGCATAACTTTAATATATTTTCTCACCTGAAAGACAATGGGCACCCTCTCCCCTAAGAATTTATAGTAGAGTTTTCTAGCAGTTTTTGTTGTTATAGGGAAAAATAAAATGAAAATTTGAGATAGCAATGTCCAAGTATAAATTTATTATACATGTGAGTGTATCTTCATTGTTCTAATTGCAACACAATTGAACATTGTTTCAAGTCTGTCTCATTTAGATTTTCTAGAATGTCTGTCACTAATTTTTAAAAAACAATTATTTTTGCTTTACTGCATCCTCAGATCTTTTAAATAAGTGTAATACATCATTTCTCAATGTGTTCAACTGAACACACCACTATTATATTATAAATATATACATATATCTATCCATATATATATAATTGTTGAATAACTTTAAGAAACATTGGATAAAAGAAGTCCAGCTATTCTTTTTACTGTTAAATCTCCCAAATGTATGCATACATATTATGAACTACAAGA